GAGTCGAATGGTGTGCATATATTCATAAAGTTAACTTGTCACAGATTCATGGTGATCTCAAAGCGGTAGGTAGTCAATAATCAAGCACATTCCTGTCTAACTTGGAAACAGGTCAACGTTGTTGTGGATATCAATGGGATACCGAAACTGACGGATTTTGGGCTGGCGCAAATGGTTCGGGCTGAGGACTCGATGGAACGGTCATCGTCCTCGAGCGTGGGCGGTACAGCCCGATGGATGGTATGTGCAACTGGTTTTAGATTGCTCCCGCTAACCCAGTTATAGGCGTATGAACAACTATGTCCGACAGCGCCAGAAACGGCATGCAGGCCGAATACGCAAAGTGACGTGCATTCTCTCGGAATGGTGAGCGCTTTCCACTTGGTTTGGTATTAGACATTAAATTCGCCTAGACGCTTTATGTAGGTATACCACTTGTCTAGTAAATTCGGCTAACGATCAGTGCAGGAGGTATTCAGTGGAAAGCTCCCGTTTGCAGAGTTTCGAAGCGAACCTCGCGTCATTCGTGCCATTATGGATGGGGCATTGCCTACGCGAACCTCTGATTTTTCAGAACCGCTATGGGTGTTATTGAACGATTGCTGGAGTCGTGTTGCACACGAGCGACCGACAGCTCGACAAGTCCGGAATCGGTTGCTGTCACTAGCGCGCGAGGGAGAAAGCTAAAAGCAGCGTCTGTAATGCCTTGGATAATTTCTTGGATAATCTTTTGGGCTGTACTTGATTCGAGACCATTGTATCACGAAGACAGAATGCTATCCGGTGCTTACAGACGGGACCCTGGTTGCAGTAACTCGAGAAAGGAAGCATGCGTATAAAACGGAGAATCGACAGTATTCATCTTGATATTTCCGTAGGGAAGTTTCTGCTGAGTATATGGTAGATACTGTAATTGCATCTTAGAGTCACTCGAGGAGCTCATGACCCGTTCCTGAGCACGTTCAGCTTTTGTTTGGGCGTCAACTCATTTTTTCTCTGTGTGCATATCGGTATAAAAAAAAAAAAGCTTTCACGATTCACATGGGCAATCTCTATCAACAGATGTTTTGGCTTTGCCACTTTGGGTGGCTCAAGGCGGGTGGCGTGACCGTCCTTTAAAGCCCGCCACACCTGTCTCACCAACTGCACCTCGACTACCACCAGCTCGCGAGTTGTAAACCGTCTATCGATATAAATCATGTCCTATAACGTGTGCAACTCTTTGACGCGTTCTGGACACGTAGCTGACCGTGAGGGATCACTCCCAGCCCAATCAACCGACGACGCCGGCCTCGGGGGGTCCCGCACGGAAAGACCGGGGGCACTGGTACGTGTTATTATGCGGTATATGTATGACCCATGCTCACTATTGCTAGTCTCTTCTATCGAGCCGGATCCCCCAGCTAGCCCGCAGCCAGTTCCGCGTCCGACGGTTTCAGCCTAACTAGGTATGAATGAATTCCCGCATACATTTCGTCGTCTCACATCCTTGATAGACCTGGACACCGACACTTCGGACGATGTATGTTTCTGGTATACCCTTTAACGACTCTGACGCGCCTCAAAAGGGCATGCCATGTTGGGTGGGGCGACAAGTATGTTTAATTTCGCGCGATTGGCTTGAGCGAACGTTTAACCTGGTTACATTCAGAGGCAAAGGATAGGTCCAGTACGTCGAAGATACCTAGCAAGTCGTGACTCTCCTTGAGTACGCATCTCTTACTGTACAATAGATCCATCCTCGCCCACACCCAATCTGGATGTGCCTTTTGCCATATCTGAAGCCACCACCGCCACTAGCGACTTGGTGCACACGATGCTCGAGTCGGCGTCCGAAACAGAGGAAGGCTCCGGTAGGTACGATGGCTGCTTCTTTAACTTTCCTAACCAGACTTCAGATGATGGAGATCCGGATTCTCCAGACGCCAGCGATTCGGACAAATGGCTCTCGTTTACTTGTTGACTAGTTTAACCATTCATTATTAGCGACTTCCCACGCGAACGATGCCCTGGGACGGTTCTACGCTGCGCATCCAGGGGTCTAGCCGGAAGGCGACCGCCTGATTCAAACCATGGAGGAGGCCGCGATCGAGCTTTCAGAAGCTTGCACCTTGCAGCCTTGGATCTCTTTCCTTCGGAGCCTCAATTCGATTGCCGAAAGGTACGGATCGGAATGCGCGGAAGGCGTGTTTGAGATCTTCATGCTGAACATTGACAATGCTCGCGCGGCTGCCCACCTGAAAGAACTCGAAGCAAAACTCGAACTCGAAAAAGAATTGACCGCCAGGGCTGAGGAGCGTTGCAGAGCTAGGGAAAAGGAGCTTCGTTTGATTATCGAGTCTGATAGAGAGGAAAAGGGGGGCCAAGAGCCCAAAGACTAAGGGCTTGTTGAGATAATTTAAAGTGTCGCTCAGCATTTTTTGGGCCAAGTCTATTTTCGTTTATGCTTTTCCACTCGCGTCTGCATCTTTATTCGTTCGTCTGTTTTTTCGTGTTTCTTTGTACCTGTAAATGCGCTCTGCGTTTCGGTTCGCTTTCATCAGCTTTGCACGACTCTGAGTCCAAGTCCGCAATAACTAATTGCTCGACCGGAATGGCATGCCAGTCACTTGTGGGTAAAGGACCAGGGTAGCAGCCAAGTCATGAAAACTCCCAAGTAGCTCACAAGGCGGCGGTATAAAGCCGGATACGGTGTGTCGATTGCGCCATGACGTCACCTTTGAGTATTCCACAAGACATTGGCATACATCAACGTATCAACCCTGTTGTCTCGATTAAATACCCATATTGTTTATTAAGACCCTTTAGTGGATCTTTAACTCTGGAAACTCCACGAGAGCTTCGAAACGACCAGGGGCATGCGCATACATTCAGTTAATTCACTTGTATGGCGGCTCCTGGGAAAGTGAGAGCGCGCGATGGACTTCATGGAGCCACTCTGGAATGGTCTAATATGGTACCCCAGGTGTTTTATCCGTGTTATAGTTCGATGCGATGTCTATAACCGGCTCGTGGACCAACCTGAGGAAATGGCACGCGGAAAACCACCGTTAAACGCATAATCTTGCCACAGATTCCTACGATTCATTGGACCTTGAGGAAGAATTCATCCAATTATCTTCACTATAAATGCGCATGTTGCCTATTCCATTGGATTACTGTGCATCACGGTTGATAGTTTAGCAGATCTGGACAGGTGACCATCAATTCTGCTTGGCTACGGACAAATATTTCATTGCTGCTATACCTTTGACCACAAGAAGCTTCCGTTGACGCTACCTGCCAACACGCGAGCCAATGGACATGTAGCATGTATCCCTTTGCCGATTCGTCATTAAGGAACAGCCAGGATAAACTCGGTCCACCAATCACAATTGCCCGGGCTGGCTAGCCGATCTTGGCATACCGTCTTCTGAACTCGTGAATGACTATTCTGTCGGGCCGACTTTGGAAGATTTCCGGCATAGCTATAGCACGAATACAGGTGACTGGCCTACCGCGCACAATTCGCTCCGAACATGGTCCTTGCAGAGGTATAAATGCATAGTGCTAGCTTGCTTTTCTGCATCAAGGCAACATGAAGTCTGTCTTTGCTCTCGTTGCTCTCGCTGCTGCGGCCGTCCAGCCGGCTTTGGCCCACTACCGGTTCCCCATGTTTGTCGATTCTACTGGTGCTGTCAGCGCCGAGTATACTTATAACCGGCGAAATACCAACTCGAACTCGCCAGTGAGTGTGAGTGCGACAGTCTCCAACTTGTTACTGACATTGGATTCAGGTGACGGACGTCAAGTCCACCGACTTTCGTTGCAACGTTGGTGGCCTTAATGGTGTTTCACAAATATCGACTGTGCCGGCTGGGTCGACTGTGGGTTTCAAGTCCGATACCAGTATGTGCCTTCTGGTCCTGTTTATTTCGTTCTAACAGGCGTAGGCGTGACGCATCCTGGCCCGCTCCAGGTCTACATGGGCAAGGTGCCGTCTGGCCAAACTGCTGCAACTTGGGATGGCAGCGGCGCCAACTGGTTCAAGATCTACTCTATCGGTGCAGACTTTAGCAGTGGCACGCTGGCATGGCCCACGGACAGTATGTTGTTCGTCGTATCTCTAGTTTAGTGCTGATTATAGTTGATAGACCAATCGACGTTCAAGTTCAAGATTCCAGCCAGCACTCCTTCTGGACAGTACTTGCTCCGAATCGAGCACATCGCACTTCATGCCGCTTCAACTGTTGGAGGTGCCCAGTTCTATGTGAGTATCCCGATCGTATATATCTTGCCAGTAAACTGAATATATCCACAGATCAGCTGCGCTCAGATCAACGTTACTGGGGGCGGGTCTGGCAACCCACCAAAGGTCTCTATTCCTGGGGTCTACACTGGTGAGTCTTGCGCAGGAGCCGGATTGCGCTTGCTAACGTATTTGCAGGTACCGAGCCCGGTCTCTTGCTCAGCATCTACTGGCCCCCCGTGACCAGCTATACTCCGCCTGGTCCTAACGTCTGGTCTGGTTGAGAGCGCCCATATTCAGATTTAAGGATGTATGCTATATGTTAGAAATGGATAAACCTTGCTATAAAAACCCCTTTTATTGCCGCAAGAAACAGGGTGATTGTAAGTCAGTTGCATGAGGGGAAATCAGTTATGTGGTAGCAATCGACCATAGCTCTAGACGTAATAGGGCAGTGAGCGGGCCGCGAGTGCTGATAGCCTATAACACATCCTTGGCAAGGTTTCTGGAGTCTTATGCACACGTTTTGGGTCTTTAATTAAACAGTGTTCACACGATTCGTCCTCGGTGTCGCTGTCTCCCTCATGGCATTGAACTATTGGATAGTAGCACCTGAAAGTCCACTGAGCTTTCAATACAGGAAGAAATCGACATATATGGTGACTAGACACAAGTACAATAACCTGGCTACCCATTCGGACATATGCACTGGACACAGAGGGTCTGGTGACCTAGCTTATCTTTAGGGTACATACATTACAAAAAGCATAGAGGCCCGAACCCGGGCTCGAACCGGGGACCTCACCCAAATTAGGAAACCCTAAGGGTGAATCATACCACTAGACCATCCGGGCTTGAATGCTGCTTCAGGTAAATCAATCAATCAGAACTGCATGAATGCACTCTATCATCGGTACTCGATCAAACGAGGTTTACTTTGGCACAGAGACACGAAAAGACAGACAGAAGAAAGGCAAACACACACACACACGAAAGCAGACACGAGAATGCCGAAACGAATGCCCAAGAGAATACACAGACGAATGCCGAAATGAAAATGCACAGACGAAAGCACAAAGAACGCAAAGAATGCAGAAACGAATGCATGCAGAACGAACACAGTGATACATAGTCCGATGCATACGGTCCGGTCCAATAAAAACGAAATAACTAGCCCAGGCGCGTCGAACACGCAGACTGCAACTGATTCATTCGCTCCATCAGCTTCTCCACGTCTGTAGTCCTGTTCGCAGCATCCTCTTCCTGACGAAGCCTGTTCGACTCGTAGAATCATTCTTCCACTTGGCGGTGTCGAGCATCAGCCTGGGCTCTAGCAGTCATCTGCTCCTCGACCGCAAGGTACGAATTTGTGATCGTGAGTTGAACTTTCTTTGCGCTTTCGCGGGTCTTCTCGATTATTGCCAGTATAAAATCCTTCGTACCCTGGAGGTCGAGCCTGAAGGTAACCCTGTCAAAGCTCTGGTACCATCTCAAATGAAGCTCTAGAAGCTCCTTTTCGAGCTTCTTGATCTCGAGCTCGACTTGCTTTGTCTCGAGTTCCTTGATCACGTGGAGGACTTCCAGGCGCTGGGATTCCAGCCTGATTCGCGCGCGGGCAAGAGAGTTTTGTCCAGCCGAGTCGAACGTGCGAGAGCTGAGTCCTAAAGGTCGATTAGCTTTTATATGTAAAACGACGAGGGACTTGCTCATGTTGCCGCCATTGTCAGATTCGTCGCCCGAGGAGCCTGTGTCCATCAGTGGTGTGTAAAGTCGTGTGCAAGAGGTCCGTACCCGACGTCTCTTTGGCTTTGCCCTTGCCCTTGGGCTCGGGCTCGGGCTTGGGCTTGGACGAACCCGCGGTCGAACGTTTCGGAGAATCTGAACAAGGGTGAGTTCGGGTCGAGCGCGCCAGACCCACACAGTGCTGGTCACGTCTTCCGACACGGGTTCCTATACGACACGTTGGCTCTCATCATCACTCGTCATAGATGGCGCACCTCGTCCGAGTCCTCGATGACTGGAAACACGTGAGATGGCAGAATGTATGCGCAAATGGTTGCATACCGTTTGAGCGTCTCGGGTAAGACGCCCGAGGCTGTGGGCTAGGCGGCGAGCTTGGCACCTCGATGACAGGTTTTGTTGGCTAGGGTCAGACTGGAGTCTACGACTGGCCGACGCGTACCAGTGACGCGAGCGCGTTTGCGGGTGGTCGAGGACGACGTTTGGTTCTGTCTTTTGGGCTAGGTTGGGGTCAGCGAGGCGTCCGGGAATGCCAGTCGCGCTCACCTTGTTCGTTATGGCTGGTTGCGGACTGGTCGTGGTCGTGGACAGAGTCTGCTGAGCTTGCAGAGGTATTCAAGAGACACTTTGCATCCGGTTCGGATTCCGCCACTTCCGGTCTCGCCACTTCCGGTCTCGCCACATTCGACCATGAGCAACCTGATCGTGCAGCTAAACGACCGAATCCAAGACATCTCGGATATACTCGAGCAAATACTTTCGACCGATTATCCGCAAGGTACTTTGACCGACGCCGCAGCCAAGATTGCTAAAGAGTTGGTGTCCAAAGGCGGTTGACTGAGCGTGCTCAAACGACGCGCCGGGGACGCCAAAAAGGTGAGCGAGAGAGACGCGACTCGAGGTCTGGACTCATGCTTGTCCAGAAACTGGATGATATCCACCCCCGGAAAAAACCTCGCAAGAATAAACCCAAGCGGGACAAGGACGAGGTACGTCAAGTGATGGGTCTGGTTCACAAGCTTAATCCGAGCAGGAGGAGGATGAACAAGATGCGACCGAGGCAAGTCGTGCGCTCGAACCGACTCGTCACTGACCGTACACCAGTTTTGGTCCGACCCGTTCATCGAGGACCTCAAGTTGCTTGGCGAACGCGGCCTGCTCGAGCCCAGCGAGTTTCTGTCCCGACTGATGACAAAACGGGCGGATAACCTAAACTTGGAGATGGGAGCCGGGCTCAAGCTGGTCATGCAAGGCGTCGATTCTGGGTTGAGCGAGGACCAACTGGTGGGGGTAGACCGGTTTGACGGATTCGGCTGACTTGTCCAAACAGGAGCAGATACTGGACGCGTACGAAGGTAGCGAAGTTGTCTCGCGCGCGCTCAAGGAGCTCCGGGTGGGCGAGCTGACCGAAGAGGATCTCGCGGCGATTTATATGGCGAGTGAGGAGCATACACTCGGTGGTGGAGTCTGATCGACCGCAGGAAACCCATCTGGAGGAGAAGAGTGCGCTAAAGGAGCGATGCACGGCCGAGCTGTTCCAGACGGCGATCGCCTCGATTTCTGCCGCCCAATTCGCCTGTCATTGGGATGCGCTGGAGAATTTCGTCAAGGAAAAACAGGCGGCGATCGACGCAATCTTTCGCGCCCAATACAACGTGGAGGACATTGACCGCGTCAACTCGGCGTAGTAAAGCCGGCTATTACCTGGAACCCTCCCAAAGACTATTTTTAAGCCCATGTTGACCACGGACAGCTAGAATTGAATCTGGAAAACCTAATTTATAAAACTAGCCCTACACTCTGTGGCACCATGACGTACTGTTTTTTGGCAGTGGAGCGAGATTAGGGTCACCTATACTAAAACAGGCCCAAATGCGATGCTCAAATTCGCGGTCGGCACCGACACTCCACTGCCAAAACACGATGACGGAGTGCTCCACACTATCTGTCCCGTTTTTGACAGCTGACACAGGGACCAAATACAGTCGGACCTCTTGATTTGAAACCCCTGGTTTTGCAACAGCACTAATTTTGACGTGATCGATGTGGGGAGAACCACGGACGCAATGTGGGGAAGCGACTCGGCGGCCGGGACTGATGCAAGCCTGTATGCACCAGAATATACGTACATAATTACACATATATGCAGGGAAATAAGCAAATCAGTTTAAAAAAACGAGCCATGCACTGGTATATCTTTATGAAAAGTCGGGTGCGACTGCTGAGGATATGTACAAGATAAGTCAACTCGATGCGATGCGAATGGCTCATGCTGCTTGAGAAGTAGTAACTCCACAGACTATTCACAACTGCTGGCGACATATTGGCCTTGTCCCATCAACGGGTGCCTACTACAGTCCACCAGTACCAGCGCATTTTGAGCCAGCTCAGTATCCATGGGACAACAACACAGAGCTTGCTCTTCCTATGGAAGATGCTGCTACGCTCGCGCAGGTTGACGATCAGTTCGGGACAGAGGGTCTTTGGAGCGACGAAGAGATCGCAAGAATATACATTTGATGCATATAGCAGGTTTACGAACAATTACCGCACATTATTTAATCACACCAGTACTGTACAAAGCGCATATATATATACAGTTTGAGTTTTAATGCGATACATTTCTTGTAAAATCGTATGCGAGCGAGCCATCCACCCGGACGATTATGTCATCAAGATCTTAGCGTGAAACGCTGTCGGATTTTGACGTGCTTCTTACCCACGTCATCCCAGATCAAGAGGTCCGACTGTAACATCTTTGACCTCAAAATGGGCCCACTATGTTCTCCCAAAAACCCGAATATCGGGGGTTTGCCGAGACAGCCAACGTCACAGAACGTGCTCGGGCAATAATAGTCGTTACGCGCTCAAGTCTAACAGAGCTACGCATATACTTGCCAAGTCCGTACTTGGGACCTCGGTTTATACACGACGGTAAACGCCTTTTCATCCTAGGCTTTCATTAACGAGCCACTGAATGTATAGAATCGAATTGACAAGGGCCAAACAAGTGCTTTTGTGAGACTAAAGTGGGCCTTGAAGCGATGAGCTTTATCCAATTTAATACGTAACATACACTCTCGAATTCAACTATTAATGTGGCCATCAACCAGACCAGACGGCGGGGCCAGGGGGTGTGTAGCTGGTCACCGGTGGATAGTAAATGTTGATCAAGAGACCGGGTTCGGAGCCTATAAGCCGAGTTAGCGAGTGCAAGTCATCTCCTATACAGAACTTGCCGGTGTAGACCCCAGGAATAGAGACCTTTGCTGGGTTGCCGGATCCGTTGCCAGTAACGTTGATCTGAGCGCAGCTGATCTGTGCATATAATCAGCAAACATCGCCAAAAAGCCGACCACAGCTATTCACATAGAACTGAGCACCTCCAACACTCGAAGCAACATGAAGACCGATATGCTCAATGCGGAGCAAGTATTGTCCAGGGGGAGTGTTGGCCGGAATCTTGAACTTGAATGTCGATTGGTCTGTCACCTACCATCAGCGTTAAACTAGAGACGCAACGGACAACATACTGTCCGTGGGCCATGCCAGCGTGCCACTGCTAAAGTCTGCACCGATAGAGTAGATCTTGAACCAGTTGGCGCCGCTGCCGTCCCAGGTCGCAGCAGTTTGGCCAGACGGCACCTTGCCGAGATAGACCAGCATCGGGCCGGGGTGACCCACGGCTGTGCAAATCAGAGCAGAACCAACATATTTAAGAGGCACATACCGGTATCAGACTTGAAACCGACAGTCGACCCAGCAGGTACCGTCGATATCTGCGTCTTGCTACCCGATGCAAGACCGCCAACGTTGCAGCGTAAATCGTTGGACTTGACGTCCGTCACCTAAACGTTCCGTTAGTCGCAGGTCGCAGATGTCACAGTCAGACGCACGGGCGAGTTCGAGTTGGTGTTTACCCGGACATAGACAAACTCGCCGGTAACCGTGCCAGAAGAGTCAATGAGCATAGGGAACCGGTAGTGAGCCAAAGCTGGCTGGACGGCCGCAGCGACGAGAGCGACGAGAGCAAAGACAGACTTCATATCGCTGGGTCGATGGAGGCAGGCAAACTAGATCTACGCATTTATACCTCTTCGAGGCCCATACTCGG